CTTGGAAGGATGGGTTGCTCCAAAACATGGGATTCCGGGAAAACCAACAGAAACTGGGCCATGGAAAACCAGCATTTTTCATAGGTCAATCATCTACAAATGGGCCATGTTCCATCGCTATGAAAGTGGGAATTTTTCGTCATTGAGCTATCAAAATAAGGGCTGTGAGCAACCAAAACGAGGAGTTCATAGCGAAGGACTGTTTTTTTTCCTGCAAAATAACACAAATTACACCATAAATAGGTGGTATTTTTACCATTTTGAAATGGCTGGTTCATGGCATTGTTTTACCCACAAATAAACACGGGGATGATCCGCGAAAAAATTGGATGGGGTCAGAAATGATTTTTGTTGAAGCCAAAACGACAATGTTCGGTCTTCATGTCGATTTTGAAAGTGTAAAAAAAAAAAACGTAATCTTTGCATAGACAAACATAGCGTAACATATATACAAGACACATTGAATATCTAAACGTATTCATATATATATATACACATATATGATGTGTGGTTATGGGTCAAAATTATTCTAGATTCCAAAGTGACCAACCATTTGCAGATGCATTGGTACCCTAATGACCTGACCCATACCTATCAAAGTGATGCCCTTCCCAGCTATAAGTTCGTTTATTTTCACCCATCTAACAATGGTGTACAGTATCCATCGTGAATTCAACAGTAAACCTTGTCGTTTCAACGAATTTGGCTAGGTACAAGGCGCCACTGGCATGTGTCATGGTGTCATGGTCGAGAGTGGGATGATCCTACCCACTAGTTCCATGTAAGTTGATTGTGGCACATCTAACATTGCTTATATAACTCCCATGAAATATCCTCATTCTGATCCTAAATCTACCCCATTAAATCATTGAACCAACTTAGGTTAATACCGGGCGCCACTGTATCGGGTTGATGGTTTCAAGCCCTTGAAAAATATCTTCGTCAGTTGGGTTGATCATCCCATTTCTAGGCATTTTTCGTCCACTTCGTTGACCATTTCGTCATGGAAAGTCAAACAAAGCCTCAGAAATATGGGCCTGGGCCACGCTTTGGGTGTCCAAACGCCGGGCTTTGAAAGGCAAGGATTCCTGGCGAAATCGTGATCTGGGGATATCTTGGAGGTTTCCAATCCATAGGGGTACCCCCAGTCATAACCGTTATAATCTACAATTGTTTAGAATCTTCCAAACCATTTTAAACCATTATTTCCTAAAATATTCCATTTTTGTTTGGAATCTTCCATTATAAACCATCTAGCGACAAAGGGTTATACATGTATATACCTTCATGATTATGGAACACCCCATATTGGAATAAATGGTCATGTCGGAAAATGCTTAAAGAATCTTCTTGGGTACCCCCAACCACTATTTTTTCCCATCAAAAAAATGACCATGTTTTTCATGATCCAAATGAAGCAGAACTCAGTTTCATCATCCGAACATGTGAACTCAGAAATCCCAATGATTTGATGGCCATAGACTAGATTGCTGTACCAACATCATCAATACTTGGTGGCGAACTACCCACGAATCGTGGTTGTGGTTTAGTTCACCCCAGTGATTTATGGGATTTTTGTAGGCTAAATCCACTGAAATCACTGGGGTGAACTAACCCAAGTATCCCCCGATTTTTGGGACGGCCCCCACCAAAGATTCCAGGCGCTGAAGTGCGCAGCAATGCCAGCGTTTTTTTGCGGAAAACATGGGAAGCCCATGGAACCTCTGTGTATTTTATGCCCAAAGTCTATGAGGCCTATACTTTTTGTGGAAGATTTACATCCCTAATTTGTTAATACAAATTGATCTAATGATGGATTTGCTATGCTCCGTTCCAGGAATTTCTTGGTTTTTCTGGTCCAGTGGTGGATCACTTCCAGGGAAATCTGGGCCCCAACTGCGGGTTTGTCATTGGGTTAGCGGCATTAAATCATTTGAGCGACGGTCATCTGAACAGACTGGCACATACCGATTAGAGAAAAGATGATGGTGTAAGACCATTCACGATTTCCATGCTGCATCACGCTAAGGCAAGGAACACCTTTCAAACAAATACATAGAGTTCACATTTTGTCATGAAGGGAGACACACAGAGGCAGATATAAACAGGAGAGTACAAGGGAGAAAAGAAACTAAAAATCAGGTCCCAGAAAGAATTTTATATCATCTTTTGGGGCGCTGGGAACTCTGGCCTCTCTTCTTAAAACGGTGGATCCCCAAGTCACCATGGGTTTCAGTACTAAAATGGTCTAGTTTTGGATGATTTGGGAGTACCCCCATTTTGTTGGAAACCTCCATATACATAAATGTCAACTGCTCATCTAGCTGCCCATCTTCTAAATGTAAACCTTCCAACCATCGACAGCCCCAAGATGTTCACCAAGGACCACGTGCAGAATTCGATCTTAAACTATGAGCCCCTGTATCCTTCTTACGTGTGATTCAGATGCCCAGATTTCCTGTATCTAGTTCGAACTCGTATCTTCCATGATGAACCCTCACTTTGTGCAAGCTGAATCCCAAAAAAAATGGTGCTTTAAATCACCAATATGTCTTGGTTTTTTCACAACAGCTGGATCTGTGCCAAACGGTGCAACTCCGTCAAAGATTGAAACCCAACAAGCACTGCTGTTGGGACATCCTGTGGTAATCAAGGGACAAGCCTCGGAAATTACCTGGAACCAGTCCATGATGCAAATTCCCATAGTTGGCCGCAGCATTGCAAACCCTCAAGAAAATAGTTGCAAATGTTGTTTTCAATCTTTTGAGGGTTGGTCCCGATATTCATCATCAAACTACTTCTACAATGGGGACTTACCTACCACCAATCATGAGGATATACCCCGTGAAAAACAAACACGCGGAAAAAGAAACACGCAGTTTTGCAAATGGAAGGTTAGTCTCCAGACTGCAAATGGAAGGTTAGTTTCCGGACAATTCAAGATCAGATCGAACACGATGAGCCCGTTCCCATGTTCTTCTAGATGGGGCCCCACTTCCTCCCACGAGTCTGGGTAGTTGGTTCGCCCCATCAACGCAGCCAAAATCTGGACATCCCATCCTTGTAATCTAGCCCTGCCAGCCTCTGGTTTGTAGAGGGCTAGGCCTCAATATTCGGGTTGTCACTTGCTCCACCATGAAGATCCATTATGTCAATAGGTTGATGATTTCTACAATTTCGAGGGGTTCACCCTGATCGAAACAATTTTTGTGCGATTTTATTTTTTCCCTTGATGCCAGTGTGCCCACGAATGTGCAACCAACAGCCTAACAAATTGTGTGTTGCTGACAAATGGAACGGTTTACTGTTGAAAATAACAATTTTTGTAAGACCCGACAACTGATTTTTGTCCAACCGGGAACTGCAAAACTGCCTCGCTAAAGGTTGATGGTAACATGTCCAATTCGACTCTCGAGTCCCCGCGCCGTAAAGAATCTTCGAGCACGCCATCTGAACAAATGCCGGCAGTGATTTTTTTTGGTATCGAATTTTGGGATTCAGCATCGCGGATCCTACTTTTGCATTTCAGCCCAATTCCAACCCTCGAATTACGACATTTGCATTGTTTATTTTCCCACAAACAACATTTTGATTAGCAAAGTATAGGTTCTCTTACCCCTCCGTTCATCCATTGCCTCGTCAGGCGAAGTCTGCCAAAGGTCGCATTTTGCGGCATTGGGGCAACGTTTTAGGCACTTCGTCTAGCACATTTTTGCATCACATTTGGCCGTTGTCGAGCAGGGTCACCATTTTTTTGCAAATTGATTCTGGTTGATATTTTTGCAAGCACCATTTTGTTGGCAAATAGTTTGTTTTGTAACACATCGACCTCATTCCTCGACGGTTTTTTTGGTGTCTTTGATTGGCAACACGACGGAGCAAGAAACAAATTGTCCTATAATCGGGTGACAGAACATGTTGCATGTTGCATGCATGGAAAATTTACGCCAAACACTAAACACCTACAAAGTGAACAGAAATTCAGTGTTTGTACTTTAAATCCCCATGGATTGGAAATCAACCCTTTCTTTGTGGTTGCCAAATTAATCCAAATTACCATGTTTGTGGTTTGTATCGCCTTTTTTTTGAAAACAAATTTGGGAGGAACCCTCACGGCAAATTGCACATGAGTGAAAAAAAAAACTGCGCACCAAGTGATTGCACACATCCCGCGGTGCAAACAGGAAACAAAGGACACTCGGCGAATGTGTGTTTTTCAGGGGCATATCCGACAATGTCCATAATTCCTGAATTTTCCCTTCCATGCATCATTTAAAATTTTCACCAGACAAAACTATTGAGAGGGTGTGAAAAACAAAAAACAATCGGATTGTTTTGTTTATCCCAGGCCAAGACAAAAGTACGGCACAACGATGTGACCACTGCAGAGCAAGCAGACTCCGGCAGATAAACTACAACTAAAATCAGCACAACACGGATTGCGGAAATTTGTGATCGTGCGGACGACGATTTTTTATTTTGAATGCAAGCAAGATTTTGGTTGTCGGAATCGGAGTGCTGCTTCAAACCAAACACACAGTGTCTGCACCGACGCTGGGTCTGCGAAAACTGTATAAAAACCAATCACATGTGCTGGCCAGCACATTGTCACTTGACATTTCTTGCTCTTGGCACCTTATTCCCTTGCGATGTTTTCTCTTTTGGCGTCACTTTCTCTTGACACATCCTTCGTTTGATTTCCTTTCCTCTTGACATCTGTATCTGCGAACTTTTCTGGAACCGAAAGCGCCTCAAAATTCATCCTGATGTACACTACTGGATTTTTGCTGTGTCATGTGCACAACTACATGACTGACATGCAAGTGTACACAACTGCAAATGCGGAAATGACTTTCACCCCGCCTTAATGTTGGCAGTTTGCCAAACATAACTATGGCTACGATTCCTCAGGTCAGTTGTGTGACCTTCGTGTTTCCTTTGTTGGAACCTTGTCAAGGTGAAGCCATCTATCATTGGTGCATTTTCCCTCTCAGGCTCTCTCACACTTCCATCTCTTTGCTTTCATCCTCGCCAGGTTCTGGTTCCTGCTCGTTGGTGGCAGGACCGCAATTGACATCGGCCCAATAGTCTGGGTCTGAAGGTTGTGATTGTCCGGAGTGAGTGTATCTCCGTGCGCGTTGTGATTGGGTTTCTTCTGGCATGCTTTCATCGCTGCTGGCCGGCTTGGCCTCACGCAGAGCTCCTCCCAATTGGCTCAGGAGTTTGGACGTCTCCTCGAAGCGATCTTTTTTTTGCTCGACGGCCGTTTATACTCTGAGGCACGGTCACGGTCTTGTCAGCTTGAGTCTTACTCGCGGACCAGCGGGGAATCGGACCACCACCGGCAATCTGTCTGCGACGTCAAGAACACCGCGATACCAACTGAGCCACGAGGAGGACTAGACGACTCCTCGAAGCGATTATGCTCCAGGAGACACATCATAGCATTGAAGGCTTTGTCAGCCTCTGAAAGCGCGAGCTGTTTCTCGTCATCCCCAAGCCCATGTCGTGGAAATTCATCATCTTCACTCAAGTTGCTCACATCCCAATAATTTCTGCCCTGCGAAGCTTCTCAGTTGGAGAACTGTCCGCGTAGTGGGCCTCGCAGCTGAGCAACCAAGTCCTGCTCTGCATGTAGCGGAGACAATGTCCGATGTTTCCCCGCCATTTGAGCTCTTTCCAGTCTTCCATTGATCCTTTTCAAGGCAACCAAGAGCATGCCCTCTGCTGGAGTTCATGAACCTCAGGCTCTGCAGTCTCTGCCGCCTGAACTGCAAGGTCTGTTGGAGGGAAGATCACTGGCATGATTGGTTTGCGCAGTACCATGTGTATCCCCACAAGGCCATTGTCCGCAAAGTCAAAGCCAGTGTCGTGAAAGAGACCACGTCATCTTCAGAAGCCTTCGGGTTCTCCATGTCGCAACCGCACAAGTTTGAGGTTGCTATCCCATGCACAAAAGCTGTTGCGATGGTTGTAGAAAGCCTCGAGTTCATGGCAACCTGGTGCCCACCTGTGTTGATTGTGGGTGAATCTTCATCACTCAAGAGGTCGGTGATGTCCTCTAAGACTTGTTGAACTTGTTCTCGAGTCTCAGCTTTGGCTGTTTCGAGGAAGGCCAACATATCAGACAAAATTCCCTGCCGGGCCAAGTACTGATTTGTCTTCAGTGGGTTCTGGTTCACCACTGCTTTTTCCAGCCTCCTCTCGCATCGATCATACAGCTAATGTATCATGCCCTCTTGAGACCAGGCTGGGCAATCAGAAGAAGTCGCTGTGGCCTCGGAGCTGTTGTCGTAGGGATCATCTCCATGACTGCAGTTTGAAGCTGCATCAGCAGTCACAAAATCAAAACTTCTCAAAGGTTGTCCAGGGCGAATGGCCAAATAGATGTAGCCTGCCAACCCAAGCAGCTATGTCAATAAAAGCACGACGCTGAAGTCCATCTGAAGCGTCACTGCATCCATAGGACCGGAACAGCCTTGGAGCTGGGTTAGCACGCTCAAGGCGCTGATCAAAAGGTTGATTTGTGCTTGGCTGTAGCCCTGCTGTCTCTGATTTGTGACATGTCTGAAGATGTTCCCTGGGTCATTGGCTCCCTCGAGATTGTTTCCTCTCCAAGTACCCAAAAAGTAGCACAATGATTCTAACCTTGCTGCCATGAGTATCTCCAGGATCAATGCTCCCATCACTGACCTGACAAGTAGACGTTTTTCTGCAAACCTTTCCATTTCAAAGACATGGCACTGGTCTGAGTGTGCTGCCATGTAGCCAACCTTATTCTTGGGGCCAATGGACAGTGGAACTGCATAAAAGGGTTTGAGAAAAGGGAGGACAGAAGAAACCGGAGAATTGAAACGCAATACGCGAGGAACAGGATACACATAAGAACCACGCGTACGCGATACGTCGTACTGACATATATTCTGACCTCCGAAAAAAACGCATAAAAGAAATCACGAAAACGGGATCACAAAAATCAGGTCACAACAATTGCACCACTAAAATGGGAATGCAAACTCGACCATACACAACAAATGCATGAATTCACTGCAGCCCCTTTTTGTCGCCAGAAAATTCTCAAGTCACACGGGGGAAGTTCATTGATCGGAGTTTACATCCGACTTCGAAGGAGAAAGAAGGTGCCAGGCTTCTGGATATGGTTCCAGTCAAAAAGGCTTTCAAACTTTTCTCCAAGACTGAAAAAGGTTTTGACCGCTGCTGTATGGTTGCAGCTCCTTACATTCCCCAGGGTGGGAGAAAACATGGGTTACCCGGGTTTTGGGTGGGTAAACGAGACTGAATGATTCCCTGTGCTTTGGAGTGGGTATTTTTTGCCCACTTGAACAGAAGGCGAGAGATAAAATTTGATCTCGTGTGCCAATGGAAAAGAACCGTGTTTGTTTGTGTACATCGTCAGGTGTTTGACAAAACAGGACAACAAACAAGTTTCACAAGAAAAATTCCAAAGAAAAAAGGGCGTGAGACCTGGAATGGTTGCTAACACTAAGTTTCCACAAGAGGTTCACTGCCAATAGAGACTAGTCTTGTGACTACGGTTCACACATGAAGATTGTACATACAGTACAATAAACAACTGTCCAATCACAGTCAAGGTTTCAAGAACCCTTAGATCAAACCCGACCAATGCAGTAGATCCACATGTTTTGCACTAACAATGCAAAACACCATTGACCCCAAGAATAATGCAATCATCTTTGTACCAAAGAGGACGTGCTTATTCTTGGGGCCAATGGACAGTGGAACTGCATAAAAGGGTTTGAGAAAAGGGAGGACAGAAGAAACCGGAGAATTGAAACGCAATACGCGAGGAACAGGATACACATAAGAACCACGCGTACGCGATACGTCGTACTGACATATATTCTGACCTCCGAAAAAAACGTATAAAAGAAATCACGAAAACGGGATCACAAAAATCAGGTCACAACAATTGCACCACTAAAATGGGAATGCAAACTCGACCATACACAACAAATGCATGAATTCACTGCAGCCCCTTTTTGTCGCCAGAAAATTCTCAAGTCACACGGGGGAAGTTCATTGATCGGAGTTTACATCCGACTTCGAAGGAGAAAGAAGGTGCCAGGCTTCTGGATATGGTTCCAGTCAAAAAAGGCTTTCAAACTTTTCTCCAAGACTGAAAAAGGTTTTGACCGCTGCTGTATGGTTGCAGCTCCTTACATTCCCCACTGACAAAACTGAGCTGGCAACACTATGTCAGGCTTTGGTACTCCAACTAGCCATGGAGTGTTGAAGTTAAGCCTCGAAGCATCATCTGCTGGGTTGCTGGCAGTAGGAACCCTGGCAAACCAGGGAAAAACCTTGAGCTGCTTCTCAAGCTTTACGAACTCAGAGATCAGGCTCTGTGCAAGTCTAGTTGACCCTTCAGCTCTGATCATTCCACTCCGAGCCGCATCGTTATCCAGATAGAAAACTATTTGGGCATTGAGGAGGTGGCTCTGCCAAACACGCAAGGCCAGCAAGATGGGAAAGATTTCAAGCTCGTAGATCGGGTGCTGGCTGTCCTTTTCAAACTCGGACGTCAAGCTGTCAGGCAGCCTCAAGCCGAAGCACTCCACCACCAAGCCATCCGGGTTGACAAGCACCGCCCCCACTGAAGCTCTTATCTCGCCATCTGGTTCGAAAGCACCATCAGTGTAGATTGTCCAGGTTTTCGTAGTAGCACGGTTGATTGTGACTGGCTCGTCCTTCGCCAACTCTTCTTGCAAAATCACAAGCGCATCTTTGAGTGGCCCTACAACCCCAACTCTCGGAGTGCTGGCCCTTGCAAACTTCGAGACAACGCTCACGGCTGCCTTCAACGTGCGCCCAAAGACAAACGAGTTGAACCAAACCAACCTGCCATGCAATCTTTCCAGCTCTTTTGGACTAACACCTGTTCCATCAGAAGAGAGCATGTTGCCTATGTGTTCCAGCAACTCACTTCTTCTTGCAGCCGTATGACCAAGAGAAAAAGAACCTTGTCCCACACCGTCCAGATCAAACTGCAGTCCAAGCGATTTGAAAAGAGGCGTAAAAGGTGGGGCTTCGTCGCCCTCAGCAGCAAAATCCACCCCAAGGAGTCTGAACATTGACTCTATGTAGAACTGCGTGTTTCCGGCAACTCTTTCAGGAGCAACCGCCGTGAAGTCGTCGAAAAAACTTGACCAACAAATCAGTAAGCCACGAGTCCCTATGAAGGATAGCGCAGCAGCAATCCTCAAGAATGCCACAACACTTCCGGTTGCTCCGAAAGGAAGGGCTAAGATATTGTAGAAGCTTACTTCGTTTTGGCCAGATTTGATTGCAATCTTTAGTCTGTTCGATTCCTCCAAGCTCACTCCAAATTGCTTGTACGCCGCTTTCAAGTCAAAAGTCCGGCCCGTCCAAGGAAGGTTGCGCAAGGCCTGTTTGGAGCGCATCATTGAGAGAATAATGGCCACCACCTGATCCACAGATTCCACTCTCAGCTTCTCAGGAAGGCCCACCGTGGCATTTACGCCGCAAACAGAAAAATCGTCTATGAGACGCATCTTGTCCTTCTGTTGTATGGGAAAACGCTTTGCTATGAAGTGATCCTTCATGTTAACTTCGTCACACTTGGATAACCAGCCCTTGTCTACTTCGGTCTCCGTCTCTGCCAAAGCGCTGGTGTCCAGATCCGTCCATTGGGCCTGTTTCAAGCTTCCCACAACCGCGGCATTGAGGCCCAACGCAACTCCTTTCAGCTGCTCTACCGTCATGCTCGCAGGTCTAACCTTTTTGTCAAAAACTCCACTCTCACTTGCCCAGCCCGTCAAGGCAAAACCAGAGATGATTTCATCGATGATTTTCACGTCACCGTAATCCAGGCTGACAAGAATATGTTTCCAGAGCAAGAGTTTTTTCCGTGCTAAAATGGTTTGCAAGTGATGCGGGAGGCCAGCATGGAGTTCGGTTTCTGCTTGTCTTAGTTCAGCCGCCTTCTTTAGCCAACCCTTGAAAACCTGAGCTCTGTGTGCAAGAAGTTCGTGCTCCTCCCATTCAAGATTTGCCTTTATGGCTATGTCGATGTCGTTGGACGTTCTGACTAGATGCCCTCTAGGGTGGCCTACCTTCTGGGCCTCTTTCATGAACTCAATAGGGTCCCTCGGCACCCCAACTGTGATTTGTTCAAAGTCTTGTCCATGACGAAGATCTTGATGTATGAGCACTTTGTTTCCAAACGCTGTTCTCAAGGCATCCCTGGAAAAACCCCGCTGCACAACTCGGGATGTGATCTTTGTACCTTTTGGCAGTGTAGAGATCATGGACTGCAAATTGTCACAATTGAGAGGTATGACGATTGTTTCGTAAGGCCCAAACTCTGAGACTGCCTGCAAAAGACTTTTTGTCCTGGGTTGACCTGTGAAAAGTTGACGCTTGCCAACACCGGGATTGGCTGACAACTGCTGCGTCAGTGCTTGGGGTCCTTCAAGGTTTCGAATTTTTGCTCAATAAAGAAAAATTGACGCCATGCGCTCACACATTACTTCAGGGTAAGCAGCTTCTTCCTTGGTG